GGGCCCAGGCCGTCCCCCGGGGCCTGGCGAGCGGCGCCCGGCGCGGACAGCGGGTTTGTTTACGTCCCGAGAGCGCCCCGGGGGTGCCCGCACACCACCCGGCAGCCCCGCTCTTTTGTGTGCATGCGGGAGCCGCACGGATCGGGCCCGGGTCGTTTCGGGGAAACTTGCGAGGGCGGCTGGGCGCCCCCCGCGCGGTGCCCGCGGGGCCGGGCGCCCCGGAACGCTCGGCGGGTGAGAGTGCGGGAGCGGCGCTGCAACTTTCCCCGAGCGAGGCCCCGCGCGGCGCTCCGGCGGGCCGTTGGCGCCGGCGAGGGGCACTTCCTCAGCCCGCACCCAGGGGCTCCGGGGCCCCCAGGGACCGTGCGCCGGCGAGAGGGTCCGCGGGCTGCATGGAGGGCACGGCGGCTCCGCTCCGAAACGCTTTCCCGGGCCGGGTTCTGGACGGCGGCGCGCTGGGCCCGAGTCCGCGCTCCGAGCCCCGGGCGCCGCAGAGGGACCGCGCCGGGACGCCGCCGCCGCTGCCCGGGGCCGCCCGGGTGCTCGCCGCCCCTCACCCGGGGGAGCTGAGCCATCACGGGGTCTGCCCAGCACGTGCCAGCGCCGCACTCGCGGCTCCCGGACAGCCCCGGGACTCTGCCAGGTGCATGTTGTGCGTGGCGGGAGCCAAGTTGAAGGTGAGCGGCTTGTTGACCCGAAGCTCGGTGAGCCGTGGGGTGACGGGGTGCAGCTTAGAGGGGCCCTGAGCTGCCCGGCGCTTCTGGGGGGGCTGGGTGTCCCCGGGGAGTAGCTGGATGCTCAAGTATGCGGGAAGGGTAGACTTGGCTCAACTTTGCTAACCGGGAAGACGGTGACTGAGACCCAGGATACCTTTAGGACTAAAGCAAATGCACCCCTGAAGCAGACTTGTATGGAGAGAAGTGGATTGGATTAAAACACGCGCAAATGGAGTCTGACAACTTTAATGGTATCTGCTTGTTTTCTGCCCTTGCCTACGTGAAAATCATAAAGCCGACTCGGAGTCGTTTTGGAATTTACTCAAATGTCTCACTTAACTTGGGAGAAGACTATGTGAAATACGCATTTCCGATAAGATGAAACTTAAAGGAGTTTGAGTATTTATTGACAAAAATAGATTACTCCAAAGTGTCTATTGTGTAAATTAGATTCCTGAATGTAATGAACACAGCCGAATGGCATTTTTGATAAATTGGTCTACCCTGTTTTAGTAAAAATAGCTCCTTTTTTAAACCATAATTTAATTTCTGTGCTTACTGTAAAACCCGTTGTGGAGTTTTAAGAGACAAACCGTAATTGTTTGTTTTTTTTTTCATCTTTCTTTTCTTGTCTTCCGAATGTGACACTCTAGCTTAATGTCGTTGAAGTTTATATTTTAAGCATCCTGGTCAGACTGCCTGGGAAATGGGTTTGGTGTCTAGAGAGTTACTAGAATTTTATGAACTCTCTAGGTTGTTTCCACCTCCCACCTCCCTTCCTTTTCCAGTGGTTAGCAACATCATCTGGGATCATGGGACATTTAGCAGTGACATAGTGGTTATGAATCGAGCTACGAACCTTAAGGTCAGCAGTTCGAAACTACCAGCTGCTCCGCGGGAGAAAGCTGAGGCTTTCTGCTTCTGTAAAGATTTACAGCCTCGGAAACCTGTACAGAGTTGCTATGAGTGGGTTCCGACTCCACAGCACATAACCGCCACCACCACCTTGGACTAGAGAGAACATTTCCCTGTTAGCGTGCTTGAATAAACTTTAAATATGTTGATCTTAAAATAATAATCCTTTCTCTGAGCATCATTCTCTTAAGCAATCCAGCACCTTTGGGTTGTTGTTCTGGAGTGCCATGGAGTGGGTTCCAACTCATAGTGACCCTGTAAAGGCTTTCGGAAGAGCAGGGTGCGTGTATTTCTGAACCACCGACCTTGCAATTCAAAAGACCTTGTGATCCAATGCTTATCCTACATCACCACACCAGGACTCAATGCCTTTTGGTGGAAGATACTAATTTGACCTTAAATGGTTACCTGTGGCCGCTTTGTAGCATGTTGGAAAACTTCAATTGAATGTAGAATGCCCAAGTGGAAGCCTAAGTTTGAGCTGGTGGTTTCTCCTTGAAGAGGCCTTTTGAATTACCTGGTTTAGCGTCCATTCTGTTCCCACCCATGGTAAGTGAGCCAGTGGGATTGGGGTTTGAGAGAGAATCCAGTCATTACCCTTCTCGGTTTTCCAGAACCCCTAACACTGAGATCAGTTGCCTGTGGGACCCAGTGTGGGTTGTGGGTTGACACCTAAGATGAAGAGGCTGAGTCTCCGCTCCCCTTGAGTCCAAGTCAGAGCTCAGCAGATCGGGGGTGGGGGGGGCATGTGTGTGGGGTGCTGCCATCCTGTACTCCCTGAGGACACAGTGAGCAGGGCTGTGCCCTTAATTTCTCTGCTTGGTCTGTGTGGGAGGTGGCCTGAGTGCCCAGGAAGAGAATTTCTGAAGTCTTGAAGCCTGCTATGGTTTCCTTTTGACTAAAGCTGTGGTATGGAAGTTTCAGGGCTTTGGTGTTGCTGAGACTAGTTGGACAAGTTTTTATCCAATCTCAGACTTGTAAAAAAACCAGGCTCTTCATGTATTTTTCTTTTTTTTTTTAAATAAGAGAATCACCTTTAAAATACAAAGACATGTTTGAAAAGAGGACACTTCCTGAAATAAACTGGGGTTGGGGCTGTCTTCTCTTTTGGGCATGATTCTTCCATGGAGACCAGGGTTCCTGCCCAGATTTTTTAGGAGCCTTTTACAAAACTCTACTTGACAGGATTTTCTTCTTTGTCAAAAATAAAAAGACAGATTTCATTTTGCTGGAAGTCCACTGTCTGTTTTTTTTTTTTTTTTTTAATTAAATGTTTTTATTTTGGATTGAGTGAAAGTTTGTTTACAGGGCACATCATCAGCTTCACATTCAACCATTCATATAGCTTGTTTCATTACATTGATTATTATCCCCTCCATATATCATCAGTTAACAGTGTTTCTCTCTATCCTCTTTAGCTTTTTTTTTTTGGATGGGGGGGTGGGACTTGCCTTTTTGGAATTTACAGTCTCGGCTTTTAGGGAAAGTTTTTACATTTGTCTGTCCACTGTCTGCTTTTATTTTGTTTTTCCCCTCTACTTGGGAAAGTGTGTGTGTGTGTTTCTTGCCTCCCAGGACCAGCTAGTGTCCTTTATAAACTAAGGCCTAAGTTAATGTTGGTAAGGGCTGCTGAGTCTGTTCCGACTCACAGCGGCCTGACCTTGTGTTTAGTATCCAGTACTCCTTCTATGATGCCACGCCAGGACCCCACCACTGCTGGTATTGTGTTTGTTTTTTGGTTCTTTTGATATCGGTGTCTTTGAGATTGCGTGTGTGTAGGGGTTCTATTCAGAGAATTGGAGGTGTTTCCTGTGTGAAACTGTGGGTTTGGTTTCGTTTTTCTTACAGGTGTAAGTCAGTGAAGGGATGGGATTATGCACCCACTCCTGAGTAGTGAGGGATTATGCACCCTTCTCCTGTGTTCTCCCTTTCACAGTACTCCTAGGTAGCTACATGAAGTTGGAAAGGGAAGGGACAAACTGCCATTGCCCCCTCAGGCATCATTCTTCCCCCAATCTGCTAAGTTAAGTGCCATCGAGTTGGTTCTGACTCATAGTGAACCCTGTATGTATAGGATTGCCGAGGCTACATTTGTGTGGGAGCATAAAGCCTCATCGTCCTCCCGCGGAAGGAAGATTGAATAAGGCTTCAAGCTCGTAGGCTTGAACCACTAACCTTGTGGCTTATAGCCTAGTGTTTACCCTACAGAGCCACCACACCATTGGGCTAACCCTAAAAAAAATTGTTGTCTGGTGAGCTGATCGAGCCCATGAAACTTTAATTATTGTTAAAAAAGCCTTCTGCCCTGCTGTTGTACCCTTAAAGCAAACCCACTGGGGTTTGTACAGGGAGTTCTGCAGAAGTAACGGTTTGTGTTCTATCACAAGTGGGCCCACCTGTAGCAACTACCCCTAGTAGAGCAAACAAGGCTGGAGGCAGAAAACCTGTACAGCTGGTCCTTGGACAGCGAGGGGGTCATGGGATCCCCACCTCCTGAATAGTCAAAAAAACCTGTGTAATTTACAGTTGACTCTTGAACAACACGGTTTTGAACTGAGCGGTGAGCTCGTATTGAGAGGATCCGCTGACAGTGTCCTGTGACCCTAATCATCCCCGGTGAGTATTTGGTCTTTTATACGGAGTTGATTAGCGGAGTTGATTAGCGTCACTTAGCGTCACAGGATGTTTTAAGAAGAGTCTTGCAACATTTAAG